TTTTTTTTTTTTTTTTTTTTTTTTTTTTTTTTTTTTTTTTTCCAGGAAGTCTTATTATGATTACTTTGGATATTGTTCTTTATGGTTTACTTGCTTACTATCTTGATTCGGTTATTCCCAGTGAATATGGAACTAAAAGACCGGCTTGGTTTTGCTTTACACCGGGATTTTGGTGTAAAAAAAAAGTTCAACGGATAGCATCGTCTAACGGTGAATCAAATTCATTTATACCAGAAGAAGAAGCCAGCCGAGACGTCGAGCCAGTTGTCCGTGAGATGAAAGGCCGTGAGGCAATACGTATTGTTGATTTGTATAAATCTTATCAAAAGTGCCGTAAACCAGAAATTAAAGCCGTTAACGGTATTAATTTAACAATATATGAAGGACAAATTACAGCAATACTTGGTCACAATGGAGCTGGTAAAACAACTTTATTTAATATTCTTACGGGTTTAACTGCTCCCACTGCCGGTACAGCATTGATATTTGGATATGATGTTAGAGATTCAAATGACATGCAAATTATAAGAAGTATGACTGGAGTTTGTCCTCAACATGATATATTATTTGATCTATTAACTCCACGTGAACATTTAGAATTTTTTGCTGCTGTTCGTGGTATTCCAAATTCAATGATTGAACTTGAAGTTAAAAAAACACTTAAAGATATTGATTTAACAGAAAAAGCCGATACTTTTGCTAAATATTTAAGTGGAGGACAAAAAAGAAAATTATCTGTTGGAATAGCTATTATAGGTGATCCTAAAATAATTATTTTGGATGAACCAACAGCCGGTGTTGATCCTTATTCACGTCGACAAATGTGGTCATTTCTTCAATCACGTCGTCACGGTAAAGTTATTCTACTTACTACCCATTTTATGGATGAAGCTGATATTTTAGCTGATCGTAAAGCTGTTATCAGTAAAGGTAAATTACGTTGCTGTGGTAGCTCTCTATTTTTAAAAAATAAATTTGGAATTGGTTATCATTTAACCCTAGTATTGGAAGGTAATAATCGTGTTAATGCTATAACACGTCTTGTAACTAGTCATGTTGCTAAAGCTGAAAAAGCTCGTCGACATGGCCGTGAATTAAGTTTTATACTTCCTCATAATTCTGTTGAAAATTTTGCACCACTGTTTACGGCTATTGAAAATGAAATAAAAACAAGAACTGGTAGATTAGGTATAAGCAGTTATGGTGTATCAATGACTACTCTGGAGGAGGTATTTTTGCATCTTGAAAAAGACGAAGAGACCGAATGTACGATGGACAATCTTTCTAAAAAGATGGTGCGTAATCGTGCACTCAGTCGATCCCTGTCACTTCAATCCAAGAGTACATCTTACCAGAGTTTACAAAATGAGGGAGCTACTGTGCAAGGTGATGGTCAAGTTAAAAGTACAAATGAATTGCCTGATGGTGTTGTTCATCATCATTCACATCATCACCATCATCATCAGTCCCAGCAGCAACACAATACCGATAAAACAAATCAACCAGCAGCACTGGGTCTTGGTTTAGATCCTGTTAAAATACGGGCTAATTTTTTTCAAACTCTCTATGCAATGTTGAGATTACGGGTACTCAGATTAACTCGAAATCTTCAATTACTTTATTTTACAATTGTTGCTCCATTAGCACTAGTTGTATTGGGATTATATATAAACAGTATACAAATAGTCAGTATTAAAATGGATTCACTAGAATTAAATACAAGTAAGTTTTTTTTTTTTTTAAATAATTTCTAGTTTTTTTTTTTTTTTTTTTTTTTTTTTTTTTTTTTCCCACTTTATTATAATTTTTATTTTACAGGCACTTACAAACAATTTACCAAAATACTGTACACAAATCATACGGATCGAGATTTATCACCACTGATAAATCAAATGAGACATGATGTACCTTTTTTAGATGAGTACGATGGTAATTTAACAGATTTGTTGGCTATTGCACCGCATATGGCTGTTGTCAATATCAATGACTTTAACAGACGTCAAATAAATCTTACGCTTACTTACAATGACACTATGCAACATTCAATACCTATTTTTATGAATATTTTATCCAATTCATACTACAGGTAATCATTATCAATTATTATTATTACTGTTGTCAATTATTATTAATTTATAATAATTTTAGATATCTATCTGGTAAAGACAATCCAACGCCAATAAAAATCAAAACTCATCCATTCCAACAGACATCTCAGCCTCAAGAGTTCAATATAGGTATTGCAAGCTCAACTTTATTCATTGGAATGAGTTTAGTTTTGGTACCAATAACTCTGGTAGTCGATATGGTATATGACCGTGAGGTAAATTTCATAATTGTAACATAGTTATGGAAAAAAAAAAAAATAATCTTAAATTTGTTTTTTTTGTTCTGTTTTTTAGATAAAAACAAAAAATCAGCTAAGAGTTAATGGCTTATCGTTCTTTATGTACTTTTTGAGCTACTTTATTGTACTAATAGCTCTGATGATAGTAATTTGTCTGTGTATACTTGGAATAATATTTATATTTAATGTACCATCGCTTCAAGAAATTCCAGCTCTGGTGACTCTCGGTAGTCTGATATTTCTTTACTGTCCATCATCTATATTATTTTCTACCTGTTTGAGTTATATATTTGATAAAATGGACTCGGCTCAAAGTTTTCTACCAAATATTGTTACATTTTTTGGATTAATTCCATTTATTTTAGTAATGGTATTGGATATGTTGGACGTTGGTGGAACAGCAGCATTTGCACTTCATGTTGTATTTTCTCTATTAAATGCAACATATTTACCTTATGCATCAGTATATTATTTGGATCGTGTACACTTGATGTGCTCAATAAATGCAGCCTGTCATCATTTAACAATGTTTGATTATTTAACTACTGAAATAATAGTAATGGCTGTAGGGGCTCTTTTACATATTCCTGTTTGGTTTTTTGTATTAATGGTTCTTGATATTAAAAAAACGGGTGGTAAAATGAGCGATGTATTTAAATATTTTGGACGTAATGGAGGAGCTATTGGTGAAGAAATAATGGAAAATACAGATGTTGGTGATCATGAAGATACTGATGTTAAAAATGAACGACAGAGGATATTTAATGTTGTTAATTCATCGTCAGTTCAAGAACCACCTGTGGTATTGGTTCAAAATTTACGTAAAGAATACCGTCAACGTGAAGCAACATCCTGTGGTTGTTGTAATAAACGTGAAGAGGAAGTACCAAAGCCACCTAAAAAAATATCTATACGTAATTTGTCATTTGGAGTTGAGCCGGGTGAAGTATTTGGACTTTTAGGTCACAATGGAGCTGGAAAAACTACAACTATGAAAATAATAACTGCTGAAGAGGCTGCTACACGTGGCCGAGTTCAAATAGCCGGTTTTAATATTAATTCACAATTGACAGATGCTTTTCGACAAATGGGATACTGCCCTCAACATGACGCTCAGTGGAAAAATATTACTGTCAGAGAGCATTTAGAGTGTTATGCAGCTATGCGCGGTGTACCATGGAGTGATATTGATAGAATTGTTGATTTATATCTATCTGGACTTCAAATTCACGATCATGCGGATAAACAAACACAAGAATGTTCAGGTGGTACCAGAAGAAAGTTAAGCTACGCTATGGCAATGGTTGGAGCTCCAAAGGTAGTACTTATGGATGAACCTAGTACGGGAATGGATCCAAGGTCCAAAAGATTTTTATGGGATACTATTTTAGCTAGTTTTCAGGTAAATTATTATTTTTTATTTTTTATTTTTTATTTTATTGTTAAAATAAAATTCATTTATTTAAAATTTTTTAGGGTGGTAGAGGTGCTATATTAACCACCCACTCGATGGAAGAAGCCGATGCACTTTGTTCCCGGGTTGGTATTATGGTTAAAGGTGAACTTAGGTGTATAGGCTCAACTCAACACTTGAAAAATTTATACGGTGCGGGTTATACCTTAGAAATGAAATTACTTGGCGGTGATTGTACACCAACGACGCCCTCGGGTGATCGTATCAGCGCGCTTAAAGAATTTGTCGCCGGTCTATTTCCTGATGCAACTCTTGAAGAGAGTTTCGCCGACAGACTGGTTTTTGCAGTGCCTCAGCACGCTGTTCAATCACTTGCTGATTGTTTTATGCAATTAGAAAAAGGTATTATTTTTTTTGTTAAAACATTTTCTATTATAAATAATTAACAATTATTATTATTATTATTATTATTATTTATTACAGCCAAGTTAGAATTGGACATTGAGGAGTACAGTTTTAGTCAAACAACTTTAGAACAAGTATTTTTAAAATTTTCACACTACGATGAAATGAATAGCACAGAATGACCAGTCCGAAAATTAAGTTAAATTATTGTTATCAGTAATATTAATTAAAACAACACTAATAGAGTTAAATCCATTCCAGTTAAAAGAAATTCAGTCCACGGGTAAGTTTTAAACGTTAAACAAAAAAAGTTGTAGGTCCAAAACTTTCGAGTAAAGTTTCTGATTATGATAATTAGCAAAAGAATCGTGAGAGCTATAACATACAGTGAGATTATGAGAGTAAGGGACCATGAAGGAAGTGTGTTCTACCCATTAATTAAGTATTTAATAAATCCGTTTAATTTTTAGATTTACAAAAAAAATAATTAAAAAAAAAAAAAAAGCAGGTCAAAATATAGTAAAAAAGAAACATTCCGAGCTTTAGACTATTTAAATAAGCGCTCTCTTTTATTTAAATAATAATAATAACAATAGAGAATGGACTTTAATAAAACAATTCGGATAACTGGATTTTTTAAATTAATATCAAGTACAAGGTGTGATGGTGACTGAGTGAATTTATTTTCCCAATTCCCCGTTTGCACCTCCTTTCTTTTTTATATATATTTAAAGTAATAACATAAAAAAAAAAAAAAAATAATAATAATAATAATAATAATAATAAATTAAAAAAAAAAAATAGCTGCTCGTGATTTCATACGTCTTGATGAACGTGTCGTATGTAAAATGTCGATAAATATATAAATATATATCATTATGTAAATAGCGGCAACGATTTGCGCATTATTGTTGATAAATATCTTAAATTATTACATATACATGCGGAAAATATTCCGTCATCTGTTTTTAGCTCATCAAATACTTAAAGTTTGTGTGGTTTTTATTATTATTATTTTTCTTTTTTAAATTTAAATTAAATTGTTGTAACATTTTTTATATTAAATTAATTGTATCATTATAATAAATTGTTAATAATAATTTTATAAACATAATAACGACAATTATCTAGAGTAATAAAGAAAAAATAAAAACGAAATGACGCTCTGACGAATATATTAAAAAAAAAAAAAAAAAAAAAAAAAAAAAAAAACCTACTATACAACTAATCTTTCAAAGGTTAACAATCAGACTTGTCTCAAGTTTTCTGGTAAATAATACCAATAATAATATTAATAATCCTTATTAATATTATTGTTATTATCATTTCTGAAATAGAGATGATTTTTTTTTACTATACACAAAGACCTCTTGCGACTGCTGACGATTTAATAATTAAATATAATTCGAGAGAGTCCAAAAGTTTCGAGTTTACCACAAATTCTTTATTACGATTATTATTATTATTATTATTATTGTTATTATAAATATATGCGTCATGCCTCAAACGTCTACGATAAAATGGTCGTTGTTTTTTTAATTGGAAAAAAAAAATTACAACAATAACTACATGTATATAATAATAATAATTGTAATCCAATGCGGAAATTTAAAACTTTTAAAATATGTAATTGATTTATTTATCATTATGAGTGGGGAAAGAAGTGACTTAATATTAATTATCATATAGTGATATTAAAATATTAATTTTTAAAATTGTATTTCACTTGTACAAAGTAGCACGTAGCGATTAAAAAAAAAAAAAAAAAAAAAAAAAAAAAAAAAACTATTTATTATTAATATTATTGTAATGTGAACAATGCAATAGAAAATTTTTCTCATTCTCGCTTTAATATAAACAAATAAAAAAAATAAAAATTTTGACAAATCTTCTGCATACTAAACAAGGAAGATTAAAATAAGTAAATACATAATATGGCAATTGTAAGTACATTTTTATTTAAAGTAATTTTTTTGCTATTTAAAATTTATTGTTTAAAAATTCCCGCATCGTAACACCAATTTTTTATAATAAAATTGCGGTAAAATGCTATAAATATTTAAAAATTGATTTTATTTTAGTAATAAAAGGCAAAAAGATTGCTTTTAAGTAAATGTGAATCGAATGAACATGCAATAGATCTTAATTAACAATGAATGATTTCTACATCTTTAGATAATAATAATAAATATTATAATAAAAAATAAACCGTGATATCACTCGGAATGGAATTTAATTAATTGTGTTGGACTGTAAATATTTATTAAGATAAGATTAATGGCATCCATTAGATTTTAGTTTCGGTAGAAACACCAAACTCGTGGTATAAATAACTCGTTTTATGTGTGTGATTTTATTTGAAAAAACAATGAGGAAAATGATAAAATTAATATTAACTATAATAATAATAATAATAATAATAATAATAATACAATGAGGATAATGGTCTCATGAATATAATAATAAAAAATAAATGATTATCAAAAGTTTTCCTTGACTAAAAAATAATAATAATCGGCGCTCGCATACATGAGTGGTGATATCGAAACTGGATGACTGATTATATGATTATATGACATTTTTGTAGTTTCAAATTAATAATATTAATAACTAGGTAGTCTAATTAAAAATAATAATTATTAAATTACAATAAATTTTCACATTAATGAATGAAATTTTTTTGTAAATAAATTTGCTGTAACAAAAATCATATTAAAATAATAATAATAATAATAATAATAATAATTACGACAATTACAAGTAAAATTATAGATAAGCGTATTCGCAATTTGATAGAAAATAAAAAATAAATAAAATGCGTCATTGGCGGTCTCTCTAGTTATTATTAAACTTTACAATTTAGTCAATTAATATATGAAAACAAAACAAAAAAAAAAAAAAAAAAAAAAA